TAGGGGCCAGAATCCCGAGTGCGGTGCGAGACCTGTGCGGACAGTGGAGCAAGCTGTACGATTATATCTTAGAGTCGGGTTGCTTGAAAGTGCAGCCTAAAGTGGGTGATAAACTTCATCTAAGGCTAAATATAGACGCGAATTCGATAGCAAACAAGTACTGTGAAGGAAAGTTGCAAAGAACTTTGAAGAGAGAGTTCAAGAGAACGTGAAATCGCTGGAGTGGAACCGGAGAGAGTTGACGTAACCGGGTAACTAAGTTTCCTAATGTCGCTTAATTGTGACTGCAGGTGATGTATGTTGCCTATGGTTGCGCTGACAGCATTGGCTGTGCGTTCTGACCCGTTTGTGTTGCCCACTTCGGTGGTGTCTTACTTACGGTTAAGTTTGTCATGGCTAATGTTTTATCCTGCTTGCAGGGTGTCAGTGTGAAAGTCGACCACCTCTCCGACCCTAGTGACATATTTTTGTTGGGAAAAAAATCAATGATTTCCCGGAAAGATAACTTCAAGTGGCACTCGACACGATGTCGCATCACCACCGGCCTAGGGTCCCCCATGCGATCCCTTTACCACCACCACAAATAAGCAAAGACCAATATGTTCCCCAATTTGAAAATCTCAAATGCGGCTTCCTCCCCACTGCACTACAAGGGAGGTCGTTCAGGGTGTGCCAAGCTTTTTCAAAATGGTTTCTTGCATGACATTGGGGCACATATGGGGACCACAGAAGCATGGTTCATTTTTCCTGAACGGCCCTCTGAATACCAGAAAAGGGGTCCCTAGTTCGATTCCTCGTGGTGACAAATTTTTGCATTTCGAGTTGACGTTTCCAAAATTCGCGCAAAATGGAGTTAGCATGAATAATTAGTACCATATTCATAATTAGGTGTCGTTTTAACTCGTTCGTATAGGCGATGATTCTTTTACAAAATTAACTTTTTATATAAAATAATGGGTGAATGGAATATGTGTGAGCACCCCCCCAAACTGCTCCATTACTGTGATTGATATTTTTCAAACAATGTCTTTTTGGTAAAGGTAGCTTGGTGATTCTTTCCTAATATGAAATGTGGGATTTATTTTTTGATGCTGAAGCTGCTCATTTGCGCGAATTTTGAAACGTCAACTCGAATGCTAAAAATTGTGGTCATCCGTACGACGGGTATGGCGAGCTATAGATCCCTTCTTTTCGTTGTTTTATTGGTAAGGGCGTCGTACAGGTCAAACAGGACGCATGGTTCTCTGTGGTTCCCTGCATGTGGTCTCTATACTTCACTGCAAAGACCGTTTGCGATAGTATGTCTTCGCAACCCCTGGAGCGGATCTTCCTTGTCGTTATGAACGGACGGTTTAATCATTGTTGCTCAACCGGTATAAGTCCACTAAGAGGGCCCAACCACGCTGTTTTCATTGGTCTTTTGTTTTTTTTTAATCTGGAGGTTTTCGTACCCACAGGTTTTTTTTTCACTTCTATATTAGAATACCACTGTTCCTGTTCTAGGGACGTGGAGTGCATCTTCAGGCAGTTCAAGCGATGAACTAGTGTGGAAAAGATCTTACAGGGGAGTTCTTTCAGAGCAAGGTGCGCATTTTGGAAACGGTTTAGTACGTGTTGTAGGGACGCATGTATGGACCGGGGTGGGGGGGGCGGGGGGCCACAACATCTTCCTTTTATTCTCTGCAATGTTTCGTAGTACCGGCGGGCGGGGGGGGAGAGAAGGGAAGGGGTTGTGTGTAGAGTACGTCTCATGGGTGAGTTGGAGAGGGGGTGCTGACGGCCGCGCGACAAAATTTGCAAGTCAAAGGAGTTGTCGCCACTGTTGCTGGTCAAAATGGTCTGAAAAATGAATGTTGATCATCTGATTTTGGATTATTTTAATACGCGATTCGGCATCCCACGGTAGGCGCCACGCAAATGGCAAAGTGGTTGTGTCGCCATCGGGGATCGACACTTTAACAGCTATTCTTGTGGGCTTCATTTGGTCTGCGATATATATCGTCAGCGAAAATGAGACGATGGTTTGCGTTCCGCGTACAGCGTGCGCCTGGAGGAATATGTCACACGAAGCCTTTGGAATAGCACACCTTGCCCTTAAAGGACCGGGTGCGCGAGGGGTGTTGAGTGGCACTCACTCAGCACTCGAGATATATGCTTCTTTGAATACTTTAGGTTTTAATTTAGATAATTCTTACATTCGGGACATGATCATAAGACTGTTAGAGGACCGCACAACGCTGAAACTTATTACTAGCTAGTAACTAGAAGAATGCACCACTTTACTTAGCCAGCAACGAATGGAATGTTTCATGTCCTGTTTTGTGAACGCGTTAAAACCCATAACCAGCCCTGTATCTAGTGATATATTACTTTGACGTTATCAGAACTACACATTCAATTAACAACATCAAATACCCTTTGATTGACCCATCTAAATATGGTTAGAAAATAAATATGGCTTTTCAAATAACATTGAGACAACCTCAACTTCACAACGATTACTCATGGACGATACCACTGTACATGCGATGACTGAAGACTTTCCCTTTCGGTGTTTTTTTTTTTTTTAACTGTCTTTCCTTGATTGCTCGGTGGAACGCGAATGGAACCACCGTCAACGAGCACCTCGGCCCATGCCGCTCAGTTGCGGTTGTACGACCGTTAAGCCGTTGTTTGTATAGTGTAAGGGACACGATCCCACGAAATCGTGAACACCTCGACAAATTGTCCGTCTTGGCCGTATCGGTTGCTAGAGACAGAAACACTACTGCCCGGAAATACAGCTGTATAAGGTCTGCCTCCAATCGTCGCTCGTACAGTTGTAACTCCGTTTACTGTGTTGACTGTCAATCCACCCGCGTTGACGGCTGATCTGGCAGCAGATTTAACGGCTTGTTCGATTTGTCTAGTGCTTTGTTCAATTTGTCGAACCAGATTTGTTCCCCAATCAGGGCTGAACACCCCGCTCTGAAATAATAATTTTTTTGAAGATGTAAAAAATCATAAGAAAGTCTAAGTGAAAACTAAATGAGATGGAGGCGTGTCCCTAAACCCTTCTAATTAGTCATATGTAACGGGCAAAGCTGCAGCGGCGGTCAAAGGCTTTGAACTCTTGACTTACAAGGGAGGTCGTTCAGGGTGTGCCAAGCTTTTTCAAAATGGTTTCTTGCATGACATTGGGGCACATATGGGGACCACAGAAGCATGGTTCATTTTTCCTGAACGGCTCTCTGAATACCAGAAAAGGGGTCCCTAGTTCGATTCCTCGTGGTGACAAGTTTTTGCATTTCGTGTTGACGTTTCCAAAATTCGCGCAAAATGGAGTTAGCATGAATAATTAGTACCAAATTCATGATTAGGAACGTCAGTAACCCTTACAAATAGACTTTGATTGAAAAACTGGTGAAAAAGGTGTGACTAGGGACCCCCTTTTCTGGTATTCAGAGGGCCGTTCAGGAAAAATTAACCATGGTTCTGTGGTTCCCGCATGTGCCTCTATATCATGCAAAAGACCGTTTTGAAAAAGCTTGGCACACCCTGAAAGATCTTCCTCTTCAAGGAAGTTTCCTTGTCAGCTTTTGACTCAAGGCTGCGATCCCTAACTTGATGGTGATCAAAAATAAGGGCCGACGGTACCGAAATGGCGATACTTGTGCAGAGATAAAGTAACAAACTGCCAAAACCTGAGAACGCCTTTCCCGCCAAGGTGAAAATCGTTCGAGATGCGTCCACGACGATTCCTCTCGCTCAACTCCATGGCTCTCCCGTTGTCACATTCTTTAGCCAGCCCGAGCGGCTGTACTCCTCGCGCATACCATTCACTCTCAGACGCTTTTCGCTCCACCTCAGCCAGAGCGCTTCATCGAGAATTCCCCCAACGTTATTCACCCTAATGCCTCATCTGCCCAGTGTACTTATTGACGAATTACGGTCTAGACGGCCTAGAAGTATGAGGCTACCTGCATGATGTTTCCCTAATAGAATATAGTAGACGACAGAGTAACAGGATGCGGCTTGTTTGCCCTGTGACATGCCTATCGTAACTATGATGTCAACATAGCGGCTGTTAATTTATGGGAAAGATGTTCGAGGCTTGGGGCGTAGGAGACGTTCAGGCCCATCAATCGATGTTAACGACGACAGAGGAGCCGCATAAAGTGCACATTTAGCAACGTGCATGTGTCATTTTTCCTGTGGTAATGTTCGTTGCTGTTTTTCTGCTCCTGCTGTTCAACACAATGGTTCAAGCTCAGGTAAGAACATCTCAGCAAAGGTTGCAAGGTTGAATTCCGTACTAAACCCTGAATTTTTTCCAGTATGACGGATACAACAATTTCGATCCATTTCGCCCGGATTTCAATCCGATCCCTCCAAATCTGTTCCAAGTGAGTAAACATTGTTAGCTTTGTCCCACTCTAGATGAACCTAGTTCTTGCACAATCAGACCAGGAACTTGTCTTTCACGTCAGGTACACTAGGTATTCCTCACCAAAATCAGATGTGTATAAGTTCTCTTCCTCAGGTAGGTTATCTCAAATTGGGACCCACTGATTTGCTCGTAGCAAGCCCAAGGCTAGGTTTAAACCTACCCATAGGCTCAAGCACAATCCTAAGCCTGGCCTTATCATTAGCCTTCAATGATCGTAGAGCTCTGAAGACCTAAACTAGGAGAACTGAACGTCTCCCACCAAAGTGTCATCATCGAACTCCTTCTAGGTTCCGTTGGGCACGAAACAAGACTAGACCACTTCTTTGTGCTGTCCCCATGATAGTAAATACATCCACGAAAATTTAAGAAATAAGAGTCTCCTCTATATATTAAGCAGTAGTTTGGTGTGTTTGTTTGTCAGCATTCTATGGCTCCCTTGGCTAGATTGGAGAGAATAGTTGGTATAGTACCCCGAATGGGTGGGAAGTTGCCCTGAGGGCGTGTGCAGTTGAGGGCAGGGCTTGGCTCGAAGTGAGTACGGTAGTGGGCGGGGTCCGACCTGAGGGGCGGGGCTTGCGCCCAAATCTCTGGAGAGTACAGACGGCTCGGGGTGGCGAAAGAAATAAATGTGCGCGCGGGAGAGCTTGACTGAACGCGCGAAAATCCTCGACAAATCCTCGACCGATTTTCCCCCTCAACCTGGGAATTCTTCTCAGGTTTTTGGCGGTTTTCAAGTATTCTTCTTCACAGTATCACCATTTGGTACCTCTGCCATTATATTTGATCAATCAAGTTACACTATTCGCTGCCTTGAAGTCTGATGTAAGGGGGGGGGGTTCAAGCCTAATTCTAAACCCAGGCTTTGACCATCACGCACCTCTGGTGACACAACTACACTAGAAGGCTTAGACACGCCTCCATCTCACTAGTTATCACTTGAACTTTCTTGTGATTTTTTACATTTTCAAAAAACTATGTTATATTTCAGAGCGGGGTGTTCAGCCCTGATTGGGGAACAAATCTGGTTCGACAAATTGAACAAAGCACTAGACAAATCGAACAAGCCGTTAAATCTGCTGCCAGATCAGCCGTCAACGCGGGTGGATTGACAGTCAACACAGTAAACGGAGTTACAACTGTACGAGCGACGATTGGAGGCAGACCTTATACAGCTGTATTTCCGGGCAGTAGTGTTTCTGTCTCTAGCAACCGATACGGCCAAGACGGACAATTTGTCGAGGTGTTCACGATTTTCGTGGATGGTGTCCCTTACACCTATACAACCGTTAACGGCCGTACAACCGCAACTGACGGTCAGGGCCGGGTGCTCGTTGACGGTGGTCCATTTCGCGTCCCACCGAGCTAATCAAGGAAAGAAAAGTTTGTAAACAAAAAAAAACACCAAAAGGAAAAGTCTTCAGTCATCGCATGTACAGTGGTATCGTCCATGAGTAATCGTTGTGAAGTTGAGGTTGTCTCAGTGTTATTTAAAAAGCCATATTTATTTTCTAACCATATTTAGAGATGGGTCAATCAAAGGGTATTTGATGTTGTTAATTGAATGTGTAGTTCTGATAACGTCAAAGTAATATATCACTAGATACAGGGTTGGGCCATTTATGGTTTAATGGTCGTTAACAGCAATGAACATTTCCTCGTTGTGAGCTAGTGAAGTGAGCATTGATCAGTTTTACTGCCAATAATAACTTCAGCATATTGCGGTCTTCCTAAAGTCTCATGTTGTCCCAATGTAAGGATTAAACTCCAACTCAAATCTGAGTGTTTTAAAAGAACCTTATGTCTGAGTCTTGAGTGAAGTGCCACTAACAAGGGAGGTCTTTCAGGGCAAGGTGCGCTTTTTCAAAACGGTTTTGTGCATATTGTAGGGACGCATGTAGGGAACGCAAAACCATGTTTCATTTTCGCTGAACGGTTATAGCAGTACCAAAAAAGAAGCATAAGGTACTGTTAAGGTTCGATCCCCCGTGGCGACTAAATTTTGCATTTGGGTTGGCGCCTACGGTTTGGTGCCAATCGCGCTAAATATCAAAATCAGATGTCAAATTCATCGTCAGGACCATTTTGAAGCCAACAAGTGGCCGCCAACCTTGATTGCAAAATTTAGTCGCCGCGGGGGATTGAACCATCAAGAGTATTATTCACCACTTTTTTGGTACTACTAAAACCGTTCAGCGAAAACGAAACATGGTTTTGTGGTCCATACATGCGTCCCTACAACATGTACTAAACCGTTTCCAAAAAGCGCACCTTGCCCTGAAAGACTCCCTGTAAGATCTTTTCCACACTAGTTCATCGCTTGAACTGCCTGAAGATGCACTCCACGTCCCTAGAACAGGAACAGTGGTATTCTAATACAGAAGTGAAAAAAACCTGTGGCGA